AAATGCCACTTGCTCCACCTGTAATAAGCCTGTTTCAGTTTAATTCGTTTCACGCTATCTATATAAAAAAAAACAATCCAGCATTTGTTTCCTATTTGGGAATCACTCTGGTACTTTTGACAATCCGCAATTTCAATGCAAATGTCCGTCTTTGTTTTTGTTTCCAATTATTTATACTGCGTTTTCCTTTGTTCTAGATCGCCTATCATCTCTCAGCATGGATTTTCATCAATCTCGTCCGATATTACAATTAGCTGAGACTTCACACAAAACCCATATAGTTCGGGTTCCAGCCTATGCGTTTTCACGATTAGTTTCACCCTCCTTACTCTCCTTTTGCAGTCCGTTTTATGACGCGTTTCTGAATAGGCATGACACTAATTTTACAACCTCATCTTGCAGTCACTGCGGGTCTGAGCATTCCGTACAACAGTTTTGTTTGCCTTCTGATTATTCACCCGCAGAAGTAAATTTCTTATTCGATTTTCTGGAGCGTACACCTCAGGCAACATTTGCACCTGACTTATTTCTATAAGTAATTCGCTTGTGTGATTATTTGTTAATTCCTCATCATGTTATTTTCGATCTAATCCAGCTGTATATTCCTCGGCATTTACGCGTTCGTTCTCGGTTTACAACGGATTTAGTACAAACACTCAATTCTACTAGCTATCCGTTTTTGGGCATGAATTCGCGCACACCTATTTCGCTTAATTTTGCATTTTGGGCTACTATATTTTTCTTTCACTCAACAACTATTCAACGTGGTGAAGTTCGCTGCTCATAGCATAGTTAGTTGGCCTATTCACTTGATGCGGTGAAGTTATACTGCTTGTGGCTACATAGACCATACTAATTCTGTTGAGTGAACCCCTTATTCCTTTGTTAGTTTGGTTTTTCACTTGACGCGGTGAAGTAATACTGCTCGTGGCTCCAAGTCAACCTAACACATATCCGTATTTTTTTTCCTCCATAGTTGCCCTAATGCCTAAAGCAAGACGAAAGCACCGCCCAGACTGTGCAAAGGCGCGCTTAACATCTTTTCTCGAAACTAAGTGTTTCGTCTGTCTGGATTCACCTCACGAACACCCAAGCCGGCCTCTCTTGTGTTGTCGCAAGTACATACACGAGGAGTGCCTTCTTGAGTGTCTGCATTTTGCCAATCAGGCGCTGGGAGACTCCTGTCCTCACTGTCGGGCGCCATTTCAAGCGTACCATGTTTTGAGCCCAAATGTTCCTTTGGGACCGAATCCTTCTTGTTTTCGGAGGGTTCATTATCCGCCTCCCCCGCCACCGCCACCCGATCCGGATGAATGGTTCACATATTTTGGCATCGCTCTGGAGCCGGATGATGATCCCCTTCCCCAGTACGTTCTTCCTCCCGCCCCGCCTGGTTGGGCAGAATATATGAACCAGTTTTAACTATATATACCCCTTGGGTAACGTCACTCTTCATGGTTAACCAACAAAACAGTCGCTCTTACCTTGCATGTTGACGGTTTCCCTCCTCCTTTTAAGCGTTGCCCAAATCAATATTGTACACAAAAATTTTAAAACACCACATAAACCAAAACATAAAAATACAAAATGTACCCAAAACCCAACAAAAAAAAACATTAACGCACAATCCATATTTATCCGTCTTGTTTTTACCTTGTGGTGTTGGGATTTTTCATTGTTATATGCAGTTATTGTTAGTATTCCTTTTCCATCGCGCTGATTGTTCTCTTCCTTATTTGGAGCTGGGGACAGCTCCGTCTAAGTGGGGAGTATTTGTTAAACAATAATAATGGAAGCGATGGAAAATGTTCGCAGTGCGCACATTTTTGACTTATAATGATTAAGGAATTTTATTTGGTGTTTGGGATTTATTGTAGGGTTCATTCGTTTCGGGAAATATTTATAGGTTAAGGGAAATATCATAAAAAACAATTTGACTCATTTTACTTGGTGTTAACTCCTACGCATCAGCACTGATGAAAAGACATCCTCTCCCGAAATGAGAAAATGATTTCTGTTCATTCATTCTGTTTGGTCTTGTTGAAGGAAAATGTTGACTGAAGAGTTACGTTAGCCACTTGTGCCAATTGTTACAATATATGTTGTAGTGGAGTTGTTGTAAGCGTTCTTGTTGATTGGTTTGAGTAAGCTACTTCACTACTAGTGGGTTTGATTTTATAAGGTAACTGATGATCGATAGAAAGTTTCCCCTGACATGAATTCGGTACAAAGGAGATGTACCAACTTGGCGAATCTCCGCGGTAACACTTCTTTTTATGAGATATGTTTAATTAAAGCCTTTGACAGATGACAAAGCCTTGTTTATATTAAGTATTTTGTCTAGTTTGACATTTTTGACCTTAATCTGGTCTCCCTTCGATATTTACCAGGAACTACTACCCTGCTTGTTTTTTTAAAGAGTTTTAAACGTGTTTCTTTGAGTTTTTAACCGAATTCTTGGCAGTGGATAACTTTAATGAAGGCTTAGTGATTTTATAGGTGTTTTTGTAATCAAACAACTATTGTTTTAAATTCTACCCTGTACTTTGAACTGCATTTTTAATTTATCCTTTAAGTTTGCGATCATGTTCGTTCGTGGCTTGAACAGGGTGTAGTTTGCAGTGCTTTATCTGTATTAAGTGGTGCCTAAAATTTCATTAAAACAGTCAAACTCTATAATGTCAAGAATTAATTCTCTATGAAAAATGAAATGAATAAAGGCTGTGGGAACTGCCTACCTAAGCCCCAAGGAATGTTCAGTTTAGGAAACATTGTTTATAAAACTGGGACTTAATGGTTCTGGACTGGGACTCACGATTTTTCACAAGATGAGTCCCAGGACTCACATAAGGTATTTGAAACAGAATTATTGATTATTATTTCTGTTTTTTTAAATTTATTTTCTGACAGAACCACTTGGGCAAAAGTTTATGGCACCAAATATAGCAGGGGCTATGCCATCATTGTTGACATTCGCCATGGAATTCCAAGTTTTGGAGAAATAAAGGAAGTTCTCATTTTAGATCGAAGTGAAGTTATGTTACAACATACAGCCTTGAGTGTCCTTGAATAAGTCACTCATTTAAATGCCTACAAGGTTGCACCAATATCTTCAATATCAATATCTTTCCCTCGACACCTGTGTTTACTTAAGTTAGGGCAAAATGCTGAATCGACTTTTTAGCAATATGAATCATCTGTTTTTCATGTAAACAGTTCATTTTCGAAGTTAGATTTCTAATATATTTTCCGTTTAGATATTTATTCTGTTGTAAAACTCATTTGAGTTGAAAGAATCGCCGAACGTTTATTTGAACATATAGAAAGCACATATAAGCAAGCTTGTACATTGTACAATCTGAATTAGTTGAGTTGTCAAGGAGTTAACTATGTGAGAAGATTAAACACATGTGAACGAGTTCCAATCCTGTTGAAGTTATCTCTACTTTGCTCTACGGACAAGTTACTAACGACCCTGTACCTCTGGCGTTGTTTGTGACATTGTGTGAAGAGAGGATTTATGGTGATTCCGTTATTTTGCTTTCGCTGGTAAAAATATGAAAAACCAATGCAGAAATCATTTAATCTTTAGTCTTAACTTCTTTAAGCCGTAAAAAACCAGCTGATTTATTGAGTGTAAACTTATTTGTCAAGTCATAATTGTATTTAGTCTTCAAACTGTAATTTTCTTTGGTTATGTTTTGACTGTACCCGCAGTATAGTCTTGGACTAAACTTCTACATTTGACCCAAGTTCTGTTGTGATCATTGTCTCAAGGGTATTCAGCAGGTGTAAGAGATTCCGTGCCTTCCCACAGCCAGCGAGTGTCCCCAAGAAAAGGCCTTTCCCAGAGAGTTTTAGAGTTTTTCCCTGTCCGTCAGTTTATCCTTTTGTGAAGGCAAAACCTGTTTTCACACTTAATTGGCGATTTTTTCTCACACTTAATTAATTGGCAATTACACAAGGAATACCAGAGGCAAAGACACTTCACAGAACAGGATGTAACCCCTTGGAGCAAGAGAGTACGTCCATGTAAGTCAATTTACTTAATGCCGAAATTTTTCGTGAAAAGAAAAGAACCTAACAACCTAAGGGGCTGCAGTAAGAACCCTGCATCGAGTGGGATTTGCTTTTCGACGAATCAAAAATAGCCCCAGAATTGAGGCGTGGGCCAGTTACTAAAAAAGGAACTAGTTCGGAACTGTTGGAACCTTCTCACAAAAACTCTGTGGGGTTTAACAAGACCAACTTGGAACCCGTGGATATTAGTGTAGATTCCCATAGCAACGACAGTCTTAGTGCTTTGGACCCACGGCGCGTTAGAGCTCTCGTAGAATCTGAGGAAGAACTTTACTCAGAAAATGAGAGAGAAAAAGAAAAAACAAAAAACAAAAGAGAACAGTGCGGATAACATTTTTGCAACAGGTACCCGCGAGTACGTCACCTCCTGTTAGTACATTACCCTCCACAACTGCACTGCTAGATCCTACATTTACAGAACAACCAGACATAATAGATACTACACCAATTGGATGGAGAATACACGTGCGCTGACTGAACTTACTCAAAAGCTCTTAAATAGAGACGTAAACATAAACAAATTCCATGGATATGAAAATGAGGACATAAATTGCTGGCTTGAGAAATTGGAACTAGTTCTGGACTCTAAAGGAATCAGGTTAGATGTCCCCACCGCAAGAACACAGCTTATTAACAATCTTGCTGGACCAGCGGAAACTTTTATGTCTGAATTGCCACCAGACGAGCGGAAACTATAACGCTTTAAAACAAGCCCTGGTGAAACGTTACTCTACCAAGGACTGCGCATGGGTTAAACGACGTCATTTAGTTGCTCGCCATCAAGGCCCTAATGAATTACTATCAGATTATATCAATGATATGCATGAACTGTTCAGCGGACTTAATATGGCCGAAGTGGACAGAGTGGCTTATTCATGGAAGGATTATTGCAACCCTTAAAGACCAAAGTCCTAGAGTGAATGCTGGAAACACTCTTACAAGCTGAAGAAGTGGCTAGAACAGTCGACTCAATATCGCAGCAAGAAACTAGCACCAAAGAAGGCAGCCAAATTGAACGCTTAATTGAAGCAATTACCTGCAGTCAACAGGTACCTGCTCAAGCAACAGGCACTAACGCTTCACTTAATATTTCACAACAACAGTCACTTCAAGCACAAATGAAAACATTGACACAGATAGGCCTTTCTCGATTATGCTAGCATTTTTTTCGGCATTTTTTGGGAAAACGAGCATTTTTTCGTTTTTTCTTGAAAAAGAATTGATAGCATTTTCTGTCATTTTTCATGACTGTGATCCAGATTACAGCACTCAGAAGGGTGTTTTCAATCCTGAAAGCCTCATTCAATGAGCAGCAAGATTGCGCTCTCGTCGATTACACTCAAGCCAGTGTGATGGCATAATACAACAAGCGATAAGCGCTCGCAACTGCTTACAGCATACTGAAACGTAAACGTTTTATATGAGTTAGAAGTCGAACAGAATTGTGCTAGCCTAGGTTGTGTGTACCCAGCGCATGGTAGTGCTCCAAATATGACTGTTTAGTGGCTGTTGGCTGGAAAAGTTTTAATTCTGACCCCAAGTTTTATAAACAAACAATTATTAAGTATCACCTGTTGTTGATATGAGCATATAATGTAAGAGTTTGTACGTTTTGTTTGAAATAAAACAAAGCATTTTTTGGAATTCAAGTGGCATTTTTTAAAGAAATCAGGCATTATTTTAGTATTTTTTTGGCTTTATGCGAAAATTTCTAGTAGCATTAAATGCCAGATTTACTAGCATAATCGAGAAAGGCCTTAACACAGAAGCTAAGTGAACTTACACCTACAGTTACCAAGTCAGATAAAGTTGCCGCTTATTCAGAGCCACAAGTGGATTTCCCAAGTAAGATTGAGGAACTCACTAAACTTATGAAACGCATGGAAGGAAACTTTCAGGATCAAATTGCCAGTTTGGATAAGAGGATGGACACATGCATCACTGGTCTTGCTCAACATCAGCGAGAGACTCATAACACTAGGGAGCTATCAAAAGATGGCCAACCCTATTATGTATGTGGTTTGCCTGGCCATTATCAAAACAGTTGTCCGCGACAGAACAACCTTGAACGTGAACGACCGTCGGTGCCCAGGTACGTGCTGCCTGCACCTGATAACTACACACAATATTCAAGTGGCCCTCAAGCACGACAGTGAGCCTTACCACCGCCGCCGCATCAGCGCCGAATAGCTGCCTTTCAGGACAGCACTCCAACCCCTTCCAGCCATCCGGAGTTGCCTATATACGACTCTCCCAAATATGACTCCGTTGACTGGGCTTATTATTATGATGATGTCCTACTGGAAGCCACAACGACCAATTACCAACACTTTAACGATGATGACTTTGATGGAGACTGGGATTAATATTACGATTATAAACCAGAAACCAAGGCGAGCAATAATGTAGACGAGTTAGATGGAATATATGAAGAAACACAGTGTGACGATATATGTTTTAGTCTATTTTAGTTATAGTGTAGTCTAGAGTGAAATCAATAAGAAATATCTTAGCTTGTTTATTATCTCTTTCACTTTTGCTTTACGCGGGAAACACCTCCTCCTTCCACCTGCTCTTTTAGTCGCCTTCTAGATTAACAGCTAGTAACGCTATAAGGTAAGCGCTAAAACGACCATCAACACTATTAGATAAGTGTAAATCCTGCTATAAGTGTAAATCAAGCCCGCCTGCGAATTTTTCAAGCAACCAGAAAAGTAATCTCCACGGACCTTCAAGTCGCCGTTCACCAAGCAGCCATGCAATTTGTGAATGGTATGAGACTTTAACTTAACATTTTCTTCGTTATCATAATCTTTTCGCTTAACTTAGGTCTATTTACGTCAAAAGAAATTTACTTCTGTGTTATCGTTATTGGAGCATGTTATTGAGTTACTCTTTAAAGTCACACCTGCCTGATTAGTCACCCGCTGTCCCTCGTCGTCTAAACTACACACCCTCCGGTTTTGCCGCTTGTTTATATTTCTAACCACCAGGCACTTTTAGTTATTTATTTGTTTTTGTTTTCTTCTCCCTTCCTCTGTTTTCACCACGTTCATTGTTGCTAGTTTTTTCTCGTCACACTGCCTGTCACGCGCTCACAAGCTAAGCTTTCCAATGCACCACCTGTAGAGTCACAACACTTTTGTCAGTGCCTATTTCCTACTATTTCGAATACTCAAACACCTACAATGGCAGACGAACAACACAACGCAAACCTTCTTAAAATACTTAACACCCTCGGTGACGCAACTAATGACCAACATCACAATGCTCAGATGTTCGCTGAATTGAAAAATGCGGTAAGCGAATGCAAACCATCGGGGGGGGGGGGGGGGGTCACGCAAATAAACCCCCCACCCTTCGAGGGGATGCCAACGAGGACATAGAGGAGTTTATACAACAATTCACCCGTCATGCTGATTTTTATAACTCCGCGCCCTCCCACTAGATCTCCAAGGGCCTGCCAGTACATGGTATAATGCTGTTCACTCCACAATCACCTCCTACCATATCCTTTTACAACGCTTGAAAGAACAATTAAATTCAGATGCATCTACATGGGTTTTGCGCCAGCAATTGGCCAGTTGCTGCCAAACCCTGAGCGAAACGGTCAGTGCTTATAGCACTGACATTCGCCGATTATGCCAACGCTTAGGAATGCAGGCCGCCGATTGTTTACATCACTTCGTTATGGGTCTTTGACCCGAAATACAAAGCCATGTCATTTTCGCACAACCAGAAAATTTTGACCAAGCTGAAAACTTGGCAAAACTCAAAGAAACAACGTTAAATACTACCAAATAATTCGTTCCTTTGGCGGATGATTTGGCTAAGGCGCTACTGGGCCAGATAAAATCCACTAATGATACACAGTCCAAACCGGTACCCGTTGCCGCGTTCGAGGCACAAGGGGCGCACCTTACCCGCAAGACTCTAATTAGTTTTGCCGACTTACCGCGTTTTCTAACAATGGAGGTAAACATACGCGTAGCTGCAATACCAGCACTAGCTCATACTTTGGACGCCCTCAAGTCAGCATTTGCAACCATCATACAACCACTGGTTGATTATGAATTTCAACAACATAAGAAGCTACAACTAAATTTGCTATTTACACTGCCTGAGATTTCTTCCTCGAAATCTCTTTGCACTGTCGAACAATTGCAATCAATTACATACTAGCACAAGGACATTGTTTTGGTGGACCGGTTTCTTTTGACGATTTATGATTGCTGACATTTGATACCCAACGCTTTCTTCTTAACGCACCGGAATTAGAAAAGTGTTACCAGGACGATACTACAATTTTATGTCCAGAGAATATTCTTCACACAGTTCAACGACCGACGTGGCTTGGCTTACCCTAGACACCAAATTCTAAAGTAGCCTCTCGCCAATTTCACAAACTTCGTTCGCATTGTCGTCATACCCCTCTAATGCTGTTACTAGGGGACGTTATTTTTTAAGCACTGGTTCCCACAACCTCACCTTGTATCCGCTGGATTACACACAACACTTATCATTGTCTGTCTCCCTTATCAATTATTCACGTCTGCTGTAACACATCCTTTCAATATCAAAAGGGGGTTTGGGAACTTGTCCATCCACCTTGCAGCATTCAATTCCAGTTTTCCAAAATAATCACTTTACTTGTGTTCCTTGGCTTAGTACACCTTCCTCTAATATTAATATTTCCGCCACTAATTTTCCAGTTCCCTCTGACTTTACGTTAGACAAGATTACTCTCATTTCCTTAGATCACACCTACAATCTTCTCGATCACTCACTCACCCAGCGGCTCACAAAACTCAGAGAAGACATTTCTCACTTAGAAACAGCCTCCACAACAACCATGAACGATATTTTCACTTATTTAACATTTGCTTTAACAATACTCAATTGCTTTGTTTTGCTCACTTTTGTTCGTCGTCTTCGGCAACCATTATAGTTACCTACCATTTCTCTCTCTACATGTAATACTACAAGAGACGACTAACTTCTTTATCTTTCTTTTTTTTTATCATTCCGATACACAGCTTTAGCCCTTGCCAACCTCGGTATTTACACGTATCTTATTTTGCGATGCTCTTTCTTTTGCTGCCTTTTTTGGTTATCTTTTTTTTCTTTTGTTTCTTTGTCCTTCCTAGTTTGTGCACATGTTATCCACTATATATTCCACCGTTATTTGCTGCTCTTTCACCCTTCTCTACGGAGTTCATTCACGCTTTGCACTATTTTCAGTCTATTTTACATCCAAAAGTTTTAATCATGCCTCATTCGTTCGCCAAGACACCCCTAAAAATCAGCCTTACAAGTGGCCGAGGATGCCCTGCGGAAGTTAAGACCACTACACGGAGTATCCAGGAGCTGTCCGCCATCAGGACTTTCATCCAAACACGGGCACGGTCTCCCCTGACCAAGTGCAAAAATAGTGGCTGTGCACGTCGCTCCCATCCCTGCACGTACCTCTGCTACGACAGCAAGAATGTTCACTCGCCCGAGCATTATTAGACTACCGGACGACCTACCCCTTCTTACTGGTGGTCAACGTGGCGCTCTACCTGTTACTCAAACAGGGCTATTTCCAACGGCAGATTGCCACCTATGCTCTCCTGACCTTACAAGAGTCATACTTTTCCACGGACTTTCTCTTAGTCATCTACGACCTTTTAACCAACAACCACGACGACTTTGCTTGTTATTTATACTTACAATATTGTTCCCGTGCGCCCAAGATTGTGACCGATGCGCACAATCTGTATCCGTCTCTCTTTCAAGGAGCTGGGTTCTTCTGGGGAGAACTGCGACATTTTATGCAATTTTATACGTTGCAATTATTTTTCATTAATTTTCTGTTCCTGACATTTTCCTCGACTTATTTAATCTATGTTCTTAGTTTATTTACGTAATTCGACTTTCACTTTTTCACTTTACATGTCTTTCTTGCTTTTCATTGAACCCCTGAGGCCAGCCGTTATCCACCTGTGTAGCTTTTGAAAGTAATTAATGTTTTAAAACAAGCTTAAGTTTCCACCAATAGTCTTGTAGAAATGATTGTTGTGTTCTGTAATGTACCTCGCTAGTACCTGACCTAATCTGTATTGCGTCATCAACTTAGAGTATTTACACCCTTGTTTTCTAAGATTTTCTTTGGTTATGTTTTGACTGTACCCGCAGTATAGTCTTGGATTAAACTTCTACGTTGGACCCAAGTTCTGTTGTGATCATTTTCTCAAGGGTATTCAGCAGGCGTAAGAGATTCCATGCCTTCCCGCAGCCAGCGAGTGTCCCCAAGAAAAGGCCTTTCCCAGAGAGTTTTAGAGTTTTTCCCCATCGTCAGTTTACCATTTTGTGAAGGCCAAACCTGTTTTTGCAGTTGGCCACGCAGCCCAGCGAAGTGTTCTACTGAGCTTTAGTCTCATTCCGTCCTTCAGTTATCCAAATCGTCCCCTCGATTATCTTTCTATTTGTCCAGGGCAACACTGCGCCTTTTGCGAGAGTTAAAGACGAAGAACACCCTAAAAACCTAACGTCACACAATAATGCATTTCATTGCATTGCACCTTTTTATATTGATGTTAATTTAAATGAGTAAATTAATTGAGTTATTGTATTTCCTTTAGGAGAAAGATTTACTTGCAAATAACAACCTAAAGGAACTCGAAACACTTGTTAATCGCGAGCTTGGCAACGTCAACGAATGGCTAAAGGCCAACAAACTGTCCTTGAACATAAAAAAATCAAATTTTGTACTCTTTCGTCCCCGGCAAAAGAATATGCCCTTCATACCTAGGATTAGAATTTTTGACTCCGTGACTAACACCTACGCAAACCTTGAAATGAAAGATTATGTAAAATACCTTGGCTTAATGATTGATTCAAATCTTTCATGGAAATACCACATCGAATCTGTCTGTCACAAAATCAGCAAGTCGATAGGAATTATAGCTAAATTCGACATTATGTCCCGCGTCGTGTTTTACTTTCAGTTTACAACTCATTAATTGTCCCTTACTTGACTTATGGAATTTGTGGTTGGGGAAATTGTGCCTTGACATTTCAACGAAAGATCGTAACTCTACAAAAACGGGCCTTACGCCTCATTTACTTCAGTAAGTCTAAGGAACACGCCTGCACCCTTCTTTCTCAAATCAAA